TTTCAACAGTGGGCCGGCATCACTTTTGTAGTAAAACTGATTTTAAAAAGAACTAGCTTAAGAGTCACCCTTGCCTGGTCAACCATTCCTCAAATACCCTCCCCAAATCAGCCTGCATTTGAGACTCCTCTGTAGGCCCAGAGTACCCCAGCCTTCCCCTGTCACTCTGGATTCTCTTTATCTCTTTACCTCTGTCTCCCCCATTAGACTGAGCTCCTGGAAAGCATCCTCCAAATGTATACATAGGGTTTCCCCCGCTTTCCATTATGAAAATACTCAAACACTCAAGAAAAGTAAAGGAAATGGTATAATAGTATATACTTATTACCTAGATTTTAACAATTGTTAGTGTTTTGACATGTGTTTCAAATATGATTCTTTGCTTGAAATAGTCAAAGTAAATTACAAATATCACACTGCCACCCTAAATATTTCTGTATTCATCTCTCAAAAATGACATTTTCCTGCTTAATCACAATACTATTATCTTAAGCAACAAAATTAATAGTAATACCCTACATCAGTGGTCCCCAAACTTTTTTGGCACCAGGGACCGATGCTCCTATGAGAATCTTAATGCCTGATGATCTGTGGTGGAGCTGAGGTAGTGATGCTAGTGCTGGGGAGTGGCTGCAAATACAGATGAAGCTTCGCTAGCTCACCCGCCGCTCACCTCCTGCTTTGCTGATATAGGGACCCCTGCCCTATATCACTAAATACTGTGACTTGAAGTTGTGTCCCCAGTGCCTGGCACCTTTCATAACAAGTAGCAATAAATGTTTGAATGAATTTATTTCTGTGTAATGACAAATAGAACAGCAATTGGATATTTATCTACTCAAAAGTATTGAAGGTTTAGAGTTAATTTTTTTAATTATAATGTGCTTTAATTTGTAGACGAAGATACAAAAAGGAGAGCAAAGAAAGCCAAGAAAAAGGAAAAGAAGAAGAAACGCAGATCGTCAGTTTTTTCAATGTTTATTATGGGAAAGTTTAAAAATATATAAAATTACATAAAATAGTAAAATTAACCCCCATGTAACCATCAGTCAGCTTGGAAAACTACCAATTCTTAGGCTGTCTCCACTGCCCCCCTCATTATTTTGAAACCTATTCCAGATATCATTTCATTCATAAACCAGCATGTTTCTCTAAAATACAGGCATTCTTTTACTGTTATCACACCTAAAATATTTAACAAAATAATTTATCAATTCTCAGCAATTTTTTTACAGTTTATTCAAATCAGAATCCAAATAATGTCTCTAAATTGAGATTGATTGACATGTCTCTTACATCTCTAAATAGATAGGTTCCCCTTCTGTTTTTGTTTTTGGAATTTATTTGTTGAAGAAACCAAATCGTTTGTCTTATAGAGGTCCCTGCAGTATGGATTTTGCTGATTGTATTTTTACAGTGTCCTTTTAAAATGTTCTTTGTCCTCTGTATTTCCTATAGATTGATAGTTAGGTCTAGTCTTAATTCAGATTTGAGTTTTGATTTGAGTTTTTGGCAGGAATACTTCATAGGTGATGCTGTGTACTTCCATCAGGACGCAGATAATGTCTGATTGTCTCTTTTCATGTTAACAGTCATTGATGAATTGCCTAGGTCTCTTATTTCATTAGGGATTGCAAAATGGTGATAGTCTAATTCTGGCTTTCTTTCTTCATTTATTAAGGTAGAATAATTCTATAAGCGAAACCTACCCTTATCAACTATTTGGTTACCCTGAAGAACAGTTTGTATAGGAAAGGCAGGATAATTGCTTACTATTTGTTTTATGAATTTTCAAAATAATGAGTTCGGTTATTCTAGTATCATTCTGAACCCAAGTATTCATACATGTTTGATACTTTTTAATCCATTACACTTAAAATTATTGATGCTCAAATTGGTAGAAGCTGTTTTTTAAACCACTTTATTTCTGTTATCTTTCTATAGCATTAGAACCGTATTTCATTGTTCCCTTTAGAGATCTTTTTTTATAGTGAATTGTGATTTGGTTAAATTAGAAAATTTTTTTAATTAAAATTATTCTTTAACAAGTTTGAATAAGCTGAGAATTCAAATCATTTTAATGTCTTAAATTGCCTTGAAAAAACAATATGCCCTTTAACATGGGAATATTAAGTCAATTTGTATCAAATCATAATCATTACAGGAAGAAATACAAGAAAAAGAAGTCTAAAAAGAGCAGAAAAGATTCCAGTGATTCAAGCTCTAAAGATTCCCAAGAGGAGTTTCTGGACAATCCCTGGAAGGATCGATCAAGTAGGTTCTTCTGATAGACTTTGACTTCAGAACAGATAAAACATTAATTTAACCAATTAGTCTAAATGTGAATATGTTTCTGAACATCTTTTGTGCAGAGCCTGAAGAACCCTCAGATTTAATTGGCCCAGAGGCTCCAAAAACACTTGCCTCTCAAGACGATAAACCTTTGAAGTAGGTAACAGTTTATTTACAACATCTAAAGTACCTCCTCAAAAGTATGTCCCTCACTTCCTTTCCAAGCTTATCTCCCTCTGCTCCCTTATTTATGCCTGAGATTCCAACTGAGCTAAACTAAAACGTCCCTGTGTTTACTCTGCACTTTCCCACATAGTGTCTTATTTACCTTATTTCTTCCCCCACCATGCCTTCCCTTCTTTTCCCAGCCCTGTTTTCTTCACTACCCTCAATTTCTTCTTCTTAAAATCCTTACCATCCTTCAAAGCCCTTTTCAAAAGAAGAGGTATGTCCTGATTCCTAATACCTCCCCTCCACAAGTAGGTGTGATTTCTATCCCTCTTTAATCTTTTAGTCCTCGCAGCATTTTCTATTTCTTTTGTGCAATGTATTATATATCCTACATTTTATTGCAGTTATATATTTATTAATATGTAAATTCCACCAGAACAGAGATTATATTTGTATTACAAGCTTTGAGTTTAATAGATATTCAAGAAGCAGTCGATGAATAAAGGAATGGTAGTTTTTAAAGTCCCCTTGAATGAAAGTTAATAGATAATTGTTACTATATAGTGTTATTAATGGTTATAAGTCTAAAAAGTATATTAGTTTGAGATATGTTATTTCTGTATTTTTTTTAAGTGAAAAGGGGAAAGGAATTCAAGGAAGGCAGAAGCAGTAAAGGCAGTGCCTATAGGGATGAATTCATCGTAATTGTAAAATATGAGTCTGTTTACTAACATCGGTTCTTTTGTTCTTCCAAAGTATCTCTACATTTTTAGGTTAGGTTGCCAGTATCTTTTTTTATTTCGTATTTTGGTACAGATAGTTTATCCTCTGAAGGATGTAGGTCACTGCATTGTTCACTAATTAAATTGAAGTAAATCATATTGGCTTCCCAGAATGCCGCCACTTAGCAACTGTTATTCCTACTGTTTTCTGAGAATAAATGAATTTTTGTACTTTCTTTAGATGATGAGTCTTTTATAATGAATCTTTCTGAATTCTGAATTGCTTTGTAGCTATGGTCATGCGCTGTTACCTGGTGAAGGTGCAGCTATGGCTGAATATGTAAAAGCTGGAAAACGAATCCCACGAAGAGGTGAAATTGGCTTGACAAGTGAAGAAATTGCATCATTTGAGTGCTCAGGTTATGTAATGAGTGGTAGCAGGTATGTTCTTGGCATTAAAGTCAGTTTCTGTGATTAAATCATTTCCTTCTTTCTCACTGCCAGAATTATATTTGTTGATTGATTTTCACTGAGTGACCATTCCTAATGAAAAGTACAGTATAAATATTGTTTTAATATCGGTTTTTATTGGTATAAATATAGTTGTCTAAAATTCCAAGTATGTATGCAACTCAGCCTCAGACTCAGCTATATCAAAGAATCAGTCTTTCCAGTACCTTATTTCATATTTTGGTACAGATAGTTTATCCTCTGGATGATGTAGGTAAATTCAGCTTTTTATCACTGCCCCATGAGGAATGTGAAATTTCTAGTAGTTAGGAAAGCATTTTCAGAGTGCTGACCGTTACACCATGGAACCAACTCAGAAAGCATTTTCGTAAGGCAATGTTTCCTGGTTTCTGAGTTTGCCTCTCATTTTCTGTGGACTCAGAACATGAACTCTCCAGTTCTCTGTGGACTCTGAGAATGAAGAGCAGGAAAGGATTATGACAGACACCAGGTTCAGCATGGAGAAATGAATATAAAATTAGAGAAGAGAAAGCAAAGTACCAGAAAGAACAAGGGTAGTGAATAGGGTGTCTATATAAAAAATCAAGCTGAATTTTGGATTTTTAAAAACTCTATAAACTTTTAAAAGTAGATAAATATTTTAAAATAAAATTAGAGGCAAATATTTATAGCATCTCCAGAACCTTGGAATTTTGAGGACCAACATTTGAAAACATTATCTGATGACCAGCACAGTAAGATAAAAAAAAAAAAAAATAGAGGCATAAGAATTGGAAAGGAGGACATAACACTGTAACATTTTGTGAACGGTATGATTGTTTACATAGAAAATCCTAAAGAATCTTCAGGTAAATTATAAATAATAGGGTTTAACAAATGGTTGGATATAAGGTTAATACACAAAAACCAGTTGCATTTCTATGCACCAGCAACAAACAACTGGAAAATGTAATTAAATAAAAACAAAACAACATAACCATATCAGGGAATATGAAGGACTTAGGAATAAATGTTAACAAAAGATATCCAGGACCTCTACAGGGAAAACTATAAAACATCATTAAGAGACATTAAAGAAAACGTAAATAAATGGAGAGATATTATGTTCACGGATAGAAAGGTAATATCATAAAATTGCCAGTTCTTCCCATATTGATCTGTAGATTCAGTGCAGTTCCAATCTAAATCAAAACAGAGTGTTTCATGAAACTTAATTAGATGGTTCTAAAATTTATATGTTAGACTAGAGGGCCAAGAATAGCCAGGTCACTTCTGAAGAGGAAGAGCAAGAAGATGAGATTCGCCCCGCCGGATATAAAGACTTACTGTGAAGCTTATAACAGTTTAGAAAGTGTGGAGGAACAAATGTATTGTTCAATGGAATACAGAGCCCAGGGACAGAGCCATACGTCTGTGGAATTTAGATATTTGAAAGAAATGGCATATCATACCACTGGGGAAGAAAGAAACTATTTAGTAAATGGATCAGGAAAAGAATCATTATTCATATGGAAAAAGATGAAATTAGAACCCTGATTATATCCCCATATTTAAAAATTAATGTAGCTAGATTAAGGACTTAAATGTCCTTTAGCACTCAGTATAAAATATGAGCATGCCTCTATTAGATCTTGGGGTGGAGGAAGCATTTCTTAAAAGAGATTTTAAAAATGCAGTAACCATACAATAAAATATTGATATATTTGCCTAGGTTAAAAGTAAGAACTTTTGTTCATCAAAAGACATCTTAAAATAAGTAAAAAGACAAGTTCCAAGCTAGGATAAGATCATACAATACACACAACTGTTAAAGAGTTAGCATTGAAAATATTTAAAGAATATCTGTAAATAACCCCCCAAAAAAGTGGGAAAATGACACCAACAGGCATTTGTCAGAAAAATATATATGGACTATACGTACATAAAAAGATGTTCATTGTCATTGGAAATGGAAATTTAGAACGTACTGAAATACCATTTTACATCCATTTGATAGATAAAAGTTCAAAGTTCTGACAATAACAAGCACTTGAGAGGATATGGATGTACAGGATCTCTTAAATATTACTAATAGTAGTACAGATTGGTCCAACCACTTTGGAAAACAGTCTGACATTATCTTGGAAAGTTGAGCATTCATATACTTTTATGACCCAGCAACTCCATACCTAGATATCCAAAAGAAAATCTTTCCCATGTACTAGGAGACGTGTACATAGAGGTTTATTACAGCATCATTTACATAGCACTTCTTGTTCCAGATAAACTACTCACTGTACCCTGAGCAACCTAAATACATTGTCATCTCCTTGACTCTCCATCATGCCATTCCCCCACCTTCACACTAACCTGAAATGATTCTCCCCTTCTTCTCACTCACTCTTCTCTATTTTTCTAGACATAGCTCAAACTTCATCTTGAACTGATTGTATAGGATTGGGTACATATACATAAAAGAGGCAGGTTTTCATGAAGTTTTTCCTCTAAATAAGCGACCTTTTGAAGATGATGTAATAGTTTCTTTTTGCCTCTGCCCCTGTACTTTCCTGATTTGACTCTTGTGCTAAATTCCTTCTTTTCTTTGAGCTGCTACTGGATTCTAAGGAGTTAAATTCAATTGTGAATTGAGACTTAGTTCTTTTGGTTGTGCAACAAATTTGAACCTTGAAGAAGTTCCACTTCATTGATGACAACTTAAATCTTTATCTTATTATCAATTCCACAAAGGCAAATTGCACATCACCTAGGAAGTTTAATAATTTGCCTGTTTCTGGTTGTTCTACTGGAAACAACAGAACTAGACTGATGCTGTATTAGAAATTAATAACAGTCACGATATTGACAGAACATCAGGTCATTATTTGAATACTAAAAATAAAGGACACAGCAGATAAAACAAATGATCTTTTGAAAAATCAAACTCATTACAAAAACAATTTCTATTTGTCAGCTTCTTAACTAGACCACTCTATATTAAGAAAGGATGAGTGAGGAAGTACTATGAGAATAATTGCTGAGAAATTAAGCTCAAAATAAAATTATCTCCAGGCATCGCCGAATGGAGGCTGTGCGACTGCGAAAAGAGAACCAGATCTATAGTGCCGATGAGAAGAGAGCTCTTGCATCCTTTAACCAAGAAGAGAGACGAAAGAGAGAAAACAAGATTCTGGCCAGTTTTCGAGAGATGGTATACAGAAAAACTAAAGGGAAAGATGACAAATAAGGAGTTTTGGATTGTTCGGCAGACGTTTTTAACAACATAAAAGAAAGTCTCGGTTCCATATATACATACAAAAAGATTTTGATCTGGAAAAGCTTTACAGTGCTACTGTGCCTTCTATTTAATTCTTTCAGTCCTTCAATATAACTTTAGCAAGTTCTTTGGGTTATTTTGGATTGACCATAAAATTTCCTGGTTTAAACATCCAAATTATGAATGAAATCCTACTGTATTGGGGGAGGTGACATTGAGAGAAAGTGTCAGTGAGATAAGAAACTTAACTCTCATATCATGGGACAGTGCTGCTCTTAGCTCGACATGACACACCCCCCAAATGAACTTGTGGGAAATTATCATTCCTCTATATTGGATGTGTCATAAATGGACTTGATAGAAACATACAGGAGGCCAGTTTTGTTAACAAAATGAAGGTATTGCTGAAAAAAGCAAATCTGGAATTTGAAGATTGACTTGTAGTATACAATATATAATCTGCACCGGAAATCATGTATTTCAGTTTTATCTCCTACCTGTGCCCCAAAACCAACAAACCAAAAAGAAAAACTATCCCACAGACTTGTTGAATTGAAATGTGAACATGAGTTTTAAAAATTCTTAATAGGTTACTTAAAAATGTGTTTTTTCGAATTTAAACTATTGGAAAGTCTGTTGTGCCAATGTAAGTACATTATTTCCATCTAAGCTGTGCTTAGATCATAATTTTAATACTAGAAATGAATGGGAGTCAACTGTGATCAGGAGTTTAATAGGGAAAAATATAATGAATCATGTTTTAACTTACCTGTTTCATGCGGATGAAGCTAAAATGATATTAAACATTTTTGTCCGTCCTGTATGTAATAGGCAGATTTTATTATAAACATTGTTAAAGTTTTCAGTTTATTTTTTACATCTGTCATTCAGTTTAATCTTTAACTTTTTTATGCCTACTATTGACTTTTAAGTTTGGGAGAAATGGAATATTCTGGGACTGTGAGATCATGATCTTTTTCATTTTGTTCAATTTTAGTTGTTAGGTCACAAGAGTGAAAGGGGGAGGGGACAGTGGAAGTTCTGGTTGTCTTTGTTTTGAGCTGCATTATTATTATGTGCCTAGCATAAATTTTAATTACCTGGGTTATGGGGAAATTCTGACTCTGCTGTTATAAAATGCCCTCTCCTCTCTACTTATAATAGTTTAAAGTGGGTTTTTTCAAAGTTTTAAAATAAGGCAGTCAAATTTTAAAGCATAGATCAGAAGTTTACTATTTAGCACACGTTCTAGGAAAATGTCTACCTTTAACTCATAACTAATGAACTAAACAGCCAGTTGACATGTAACAGTTAGGACCCTTGAATTTGAACTGATTTCTATGTATTATCATTGCTGCCTAGCCTAAGAAATCTATTATTCCTAAAAGTTAAAAGGAAACTAGGTCCCCAATTTGTGAGTGTTAATCCATCTACTTCCCTGTGTAATAAAACCTAAATTTATAATCACCATTTAAGAATTTGCTCTCTAAGAAAATTATTGTTATTGGCTCCTGGAGACTGAATGAATTTGTTCTCCTGTTTTCAGTAGGCAAGGTAATTTAAATGCAACGATTTTGTGATATATGAATATTGTTGATTTTCATTGGATTTGCCTGTCTCCTCCACAGAGTAAATACTCAACAAATGCTTGTCAAGTAAAAAAATATATATATTAATTCATTTCATTCATCAATAATTTTTCAGAAAAGATCTGCCAAAGAACAGCTTCAGTAACATATTCTTTGGAAAAAGGAAGAAGAATGAAAGAGCTTAAAGTATTTTATTTTCAGTACATGAGAGTTACTGCTTCAAACTGTTTAATTACGTGAGCCACAAGTCTAATAGGAGGGTTATTGTATTTGAAATGCTCTATCTGTTATTCTTCAAGGAGACTTACCTAGTTTCCTACCTCCTCGCCTATTGCTCTAAGATTTTTCCCCCTTTTATTTATTTATTGCATAAATGTAACAGTTAAAAAAAGAAGAAAGAAAAATTATCCATTGTCTTACCACATCAATTGTCTTTAGGATTCTGTGTTCCCTTCCAGTGCTTGTCTATGTGAATATGTATTCTGATGTACCAGTAAGTAATCACTCATAATGTAATTCTGTCTTTGGTGTTTTAAAACTTTGCAGCCAGGCAAGACAGCCTCACAGGGATGGTAGGAACAAGTGATAATCTGGTGTGAGGATGGGAAGAAGACAAGAAATAAGTAAGGGTGGTGACTGAGCCTTCCTTATTTCATTGCCCCCAGTCCTCAAGCCACCTTCCTGCCATCAAGGTCGTGATGATGTATTGTGGCAGGCAGCATTCCAGGCTTCAGAGTTCCAGAATGTATTGTTTAATGATGGGGCTAAATTTGCAGTAAACGAAGGGATCTGTTAGTAGAGAAACCCTTCAGATTGGTTATATTACGAGCCGTAGAACTGTTACCATTTTTCTGTTCCCCAGTTGTGCCATAAAGAGGGGTGTCTGGGTGGAGACTTAGGCTCAGATGGGGAAACAAACAGCCAAAGTGCCAGTCTCAGTTGGTCTGACAGGTGAATTTTAGCAGGTCTCTAAACTCAGCTTCTATATCTGTAAGACTCTGAATGATGCAGATAGTGGTGGAAAAAACCTTTTAGAAAATAGAACTTACTGGTTACTCTGCTAGCGTGATGTAAGTTGCCAAATGGAAAATTAATGAATGCAAAATAAATACAGCTGGATTGTGTGCCACATGTTTATTATTCAATAAATATTCTGTGGTTTGATGTGCAGTGTCGTATTTTTAATACATTCTGATTAGAAATCCAATCCTAAAACATTCAGTAAGAATCAGACATAATTGAATTAGAAGGGATTTGACTCCATTAAAATATGTTTGGCCTCAACAAGGTCCCTCGTCCATTTTTCTCGAAAGCGAGTCTTTCCTGGTCTGTAGAGAAAGAAAAACAAACACACCAAAAGCTTTTAAAATAAAACACTGAGCCAGCGATCGATTCCCTGTTTACTCTTATATTCCTAGTGAGCAAAAAGCTTTTTGAGAGTAGAGGGGAAAGTCTGTCTCTATCTATTCCTTAGGCCCAATCAATAAAATAGTGAGTTTATATGTAAAGATTCTTTAAGAGTTGCTAAACAAAAGGGATTATTATACATGATTTAATTCCATATAATTGTGAATTTTCCCATAGAAACAACAGATGTGACCCGCTTTGCCCCCATCCTACTCCAGCAACTAATCCCCAAGTTTCTAATCATCGAAAAATGAGACACTAAAAAAATTCTAGAACAATGGCAGAATCCTCCTTTCAATCAATCCTAATGAGGTAGGTGGCCCAAAGGAGAAAAGTGACTGTTATGTGAATTATCTGTGGCTGTGGACTTGCTGGATTCCCAGAGTATAATGACCTTTTTCCACCACCGTGTTAAAATAAGTCTCCAAGTGTTCATTACCTGTGAACTAATGACTGGCCCTCAAAGATAAAAGAGACATCAACGGGTGCATCCTAAGAAAGAAAAGAACAATGGTCAGTCCAGACCAGTCATACCAACTCATGATTCCTCCTATTCCTACACTTGTCCATATATACTCTTAAATTTCTAGAATTCATCTTCCTTGTGAATTGGGAGTCTGTAGGTGGTAGTTCTTTGTCACTTCAAACCTCTGTCCTCCAAAAGATCTTTTTGGCAACGAATACCTTAAGAATCACCAAGGCATCGCTTCTCAGCCTTTTGGCTAAGATCAGGTAAGGAATCGCCAAAGAACTGGAAACAAGTAGGAGAGGCTTGTGTTCCTCATTAACAGGAGCTTGAGTAAGTCATTTTACCTTCTTTACATGCTCCAGTTTACTCAACCGACAGGAATGGCATAAGAATGAAGTAATATAGATGAACAAAGTTCGAAAACATTTTTAAAGCAGCATAAAATGTAGGTTGTAATATTGTCTGAATGGTTACCACCCATTTGCCCCTCCAGAATTACACTGAGAATTCTGAGCAAAAGCCCTTTTCTCAAGCTCTCTATTTGTATGGTCACTGGTTTATGGTCTTGATTACCTCCACAAGCCTAACATTCTGATCTCTAACCTTGCCAGTTAACAAGACAGCTGATGGTGGGATGTATGACCAGGAGAAGTGAGAGCACCATGTATTTTACCTCCTTAGATTACTCTGGGTCCCAAAATCTCTGAATAGATAAGTTTATACTAGGATAGGACAAATACAGGATATAGTTGACTCATTATGTGGTCATATATAAAGCCTTAGAGTCAGGCAAAGGCTCAAATAACTTGTGAAAGGATGAAAAACAAAGGGGATATGATATTTTTATGTCTGCTGTGTTCTAGGCATTATGTTTGGTATCAACATTGCTCCTCTGAGAACCCTATGCCTGGATTCATGGATGTTATTTTGACTCTTTTCTTACCAGCGATCAACATATTTCATATTCATGGTCTATCTAGTGACTACAAGCAATCATTCCTTCAAGTATTTAATGAGTGCCTACTATTTGCCAGCCCTTGTTTTTCAGCAAGATAAAAATTTGTGCCTTCATGGAACTTACATTCTGGTAGGGCGAGAAGACACTAACAAGATAATAAATTATATAGAATATCAGAAGTTGATAAAATGTTACAGAAAAAAAGCAAAAGCATTGGCAGGTGGGAGCGGGGAGAAAGTGCTGTGTAGGAGGTGAGAGCAGGGAAAACAAATAACAAGGGACCAGAGCACACAAGGTCTTTTGGCCCTTACTACTCAGAAAGTGTAGTCTGTGGACCAGCAGCATCTGCCTGGTCTGGGAGCTTCTTAGCAATGCAGAATCTCAAGCCCTACCCCAGACCTGCTGAATCAGAATCTTCCTTTTAACAAGATCCCCAGTGGAGTTCAAGAAACATGCTGGAAAGTATTTAAACAGAGGAGTGACATAAATTCATTACATGATGAGGGCAAGGGTGGAAGCAGAGGAACCAGTTAGAAGGCTATGGAAATCATCTTGGTAAGAGACGATGGTGGTGGTCGAACTGGAATGGTAAGAAATTGTTAGATTCAGGGCCTATTTTTGAAAGTAGGGCCAACAGGATTTCCTAATGGATTCAATGAAGGATGTGAGAGAGTCAAGGATGATGCCAAAGATTTTGGCCATCGGCTGAGATGAGGGAGACTGCAGGTCAGCTTTAGAAGGGGAAATTGGAAGTTCAATTCTGGTTACAATAAGTGAGGTTTCTTAAACCTGCAAGTGGCAGAGGTCTGAGCTGGAGATATAAATTTGGGGCTCATAAACTAGAGGTGGCATTTAAAGCCAGGAGACGGGATATGATCATCAAGGCAGCGAGTATAGAGAAGAGGTCCAAGACCCACATTTTGTGACATTCTAATACAAAGAGGTTAGTGGGAGGAGAAACCAGTAGAGACTGAGAAGGAACGGTCAATGAAGCAGGAGAAAAACCAGGACAGTATGTTGTCCTAGAAGGCAAACAGAATGTTTCATAGAGAAAGGAGTGATCAGCTATGGCAAGTGCTGCAGACAGGCCAAGCAGGATGAGGACAGAAATATGACTATTATGTTTTACAAAGAAAGGGTCATCAATGATCTTGACAAGAGAAGTCTCTATTCTCATTGAAGTCTTATCAAAGGGAGCAGGCAGGAAAGGAAGAGCTTACCGGAGGTTTGTTTTTGTTGAACTTGATAGTGAAGAAGGCAGAGGCAGAGCCTAGTGCCGTGGGTGTGTTAGCGGTTGGGATGCTCCAGCGTACAGAGTAGATGTAGTGGAAGCTGTGTACCACATCTTTTGTCTCTATCAACTTTGTGTAGTGCACCCAGCGGTCTTGATACTCCCAAGTCTGTTTAATAGAAAAAGAGCACACAGAGAAAAACAAGCAGACTTCTGTTTAAATCCTCTGGATAAAGGCAGCACACAACAGTGGAGTTTATAGCTCTGCTTCTGGAGTCCATTTCTAACATTTTTGATTGGGATTCAAACTAGAGTCAACTCCCAATTATCTCCACAGTGGAGGAGATAAGAGGTGGAGCTGAAATTAAATGAATGACTAATGCAAACATCACTTGAGATTGGGCTTTGTACTGTAGAGGCACATGCTCAAATGTGTGTGGGTACATAGACACCACAAATACATACACACTCACTTCCTTCCAGACCCTTACTTGAGAGGCAAGTTTAGTTAATTGAAAAATAATTAGTGATTAGAACATGTGGTCTGCTCACTCCTCTCTGGGAGACCTCAAGGTGTGACTAGAAAGTAATGAGGCTGATTTTACAAACTGCTGTTGAAAACCAAACTCACTTAATTGCAGCCATAGATGGTATATAATGTCAGAAAAGGAATGAGTCCGGCAATAGGATCATCCAGATCTCTCAGATCCCTGTCTACACCCTTGGAGAAGCTTTCCCTCCTAAGCACAAATCTTACCAGCACCTAGGGTCCACAGAAGTCATAATGCAGCCCTGATTCTTAGCACAGGGCCAGAAATGCTATAGATATTCAAGTTCAATTCAACTGGACCCCCTTGGGCTGGCTTTTATGGCACAGGCAGCTCACGAGTCATTTCCATATAAACAAAATAATGATAGAGCGCGTACAGAAAAAAAAAAAAAAAAAAAAAGATCTTGAATTAAGATGAAGGTCCACAGAAGGAAGTGGGATTGTCTAACAAGCCCAGTGATGTGCACAGGGAGTGTGGCAGAAGATGGTAAAAAGATTTCAGGCCTCCCTTTAAAATAAAAAGAAGCAGGCTAGCCTTCTGCCTCAGCTTACTTTATTTCAACCTTCTATCCGATTGGCTCTTTCAGTTAGCCAGAGAGGAGCACCAGATTCTAGATTCCTTGAGATCAGGGACTGTGTCTTCCTATAGAGACCATTATTCCTTTTAAGGAAGAAGTCCAACAGTCAAGCTCATGAAGCCCATAGAAGCATACCTTTTTTCTAACCTTTCTGTATTATTTGATGTATTTTGTCAGCCCTAATAGTTAATCTGCCACATAATCACAGACTTCGTAGCATTTGAATGGTCCCTAGAGATCATCTAATGAAGCCCCTTACTTTATAGATGAGGATACAGGGGCCTAGAAATGGGTAAGGACAGTCCAACACAACAGAGGAGACAGGAACCCAGGTTTTCTGAGTAGCCAGCTCAGTTCTCTCTCTGCCTCACTGGATGCATCAGTGCTAAGATTTTCTCCCTCTCAACTTGGTGTCAGTGTTTTTTTTTTTTCTTTTGTGAACTGAGGCAGCCTTAGACACCTCAAATTCAACTATCTCCATCAGGCAATTTCTTCCTTTTTTATCGTTGTGCAAGCAGCTGACTTTCATGTAGCTCCAACGTGTTTTGTAATTTTTACACAATGTTGCTTCATATCCTCACTCTGAGGAAACAGTATCTTATTGTGCTACTCTATCATGGATGGCTTAGCCCATTATATGTTATTGGATGCTCAGAATCAACAGGCATCTAGAACTATATGCACAAAACTGTTATCAATGGTAAATGATCTTTGAGGAAATAGAAATGGGCATTATGGGGGTGTAGGGGTAACTTTCATTTTCTACTTTGTGTCTTTTTGTTCACTGGGGTTTTTTTAATAACAATTCTTTATTTTTATTATAAAATAATTTTAACTGTGTGTTAGGCAGTGGGAATTTTCCAATTTTTCTCTCATAAAGAACTTATTTGTATATTCTTGTTGCCGAATTGTGTTTCTGAAGAGAATAAACCAATTATTGTGCCCACTGGCAATGTATAAGTATACCTATTCCCTCCCCACAAACACACAAGCCTTCTTACATCAGGTTTGATCCACACTGCAATACCTTAAAATCTTTTGAATTTCCATTTTTCATTGATAGTAAACTCTTTATGATTTTTGCCATCAAAAAGTCCTTTTTCCCAATAAAATGCATAGAAGAAAACAGGAACTAAACTCAGGGACCTTGGACTTAAAGAGGATTTTATGAATTTGATCTCAAAAGCAAGGGAAGTAAAAGCAAAAATAAATGAATGGGACTACATCAAACTAAAAAGCTTCTGCTCAGCAAAAGAAGAGACAACCGTCCGAATGGGAAAATATATTTGCAAGCAACACCTCCGATAAGAGCCTAATATCCAAAATATACAAAGAACTCATACAACTCAATAACAACAAAAAAAAACAAATGATCCAATCGAAAATGGGCAGAGGACCTGAACAGACACCTCTCCCTAGAGGATATACAAATGGCCAACACATATATGAAAAGATGCTTAACATTGCTAGCTATTAGGGAAATTCAAATCAAAATCACAATGAGATACCATCTCACACCCGTTAGAATAGCTATAATCAACAGGACAAGTAATAACAAATGTTGGAGAGGATGCGGAGAAAAAGGAACCCTCATACACTGCTGGTGGGACTGCAAATTTCCATACAGCCACTATGGAAAGCAGCATGGAGGTTCCTCAAAAAAATAAGAATTGATCCACCATATGATCCAGCAATCCCTCTACTGGGTGTTTACCCCAAAGACTTGAAAACCCATATTCAAAAAGATATTTGCACACCGATGTTCATAGCAGCATTATTCACAGTGGCCAGGACATGGAAGCCACCGAAGTATCCTGTGATAGATGATTGGCTAAAGAAGCTGTGGTACATATATACGATGGAATATTACTCAGCCATAAGAAGAGCTGAAATACTGCCATTTGTGATAACATGGATTGACCTCGAGGTAATCATGCTAAGTGAAATAAGCCTGACAAAAATAGCGGAAAATCTCATGATATCACTTATATGTGGGATATAAACCTAAAAGCAGCAAAGAAACAGGACAAACAAACAGAGACTCCTGGACATGGAGAATAGACTAGTGGTTACCATAGGACTATAGAGTATTGGTTACTAGTGGGGCAGGGGAGGAGATGGGAGGTCGATGTGATAAAGGGGGTTAAATATAGGGGGGTAGGAGGAGGGAGAGGCAGGTAAATGGGATAAAATATATGGTAGCTGAAGGAAACTGGGCTTTGGGTGGTAAACAATAGGATATACAGATGTCAAATGATAATGTACACCTGAAAATTATATAATTGTATTAACCAGTGTTACCCCAATAAACTTAATTAATTTTTTTTAAAAAGTCCTTTTTCCTACTCTGGTGGAAAAGTATATCAGACAGACTTATGATCAAAACTTCATTTTGCTGCTTAAACAGGAAGACCTTGGACATACTGCCCAACTTCTCTGAGCCTCAAGGTTCTTTATCTGTCAAACATACCTACGCTAAGGTTTGTTGTGAGGATTAAATGAGAGAATGCACATGAAATGCTTAGCAGTGCTTGGCACAATAAATAGTAACTCCAAATTTGCCAATAGTAACTCCTAATTTGGTGTACGGTGGACTCTGGGAAATCTGCAATAAGCTTGAGAAAGCTCTTCATTAGAAATGCCTGGCACTTAGATGGTAGACTTCACTTCTAGGACTTGCTGTATTAGTGGGGTTGGGAACAGGGTGATTTGATGTAAAGAGTTATATAGAGCTTTTAGCTTTCAATCACCTTCTACTTTCTAATCATCTCTATCCACACAACAACCTACAAAGTATGTAAGCTCTTCATCTATGAAAGAATAAATCCGTTTGTGTATTTAACACATATTTATAGAGCACCTGACCTTTCTGGAGGCTTGGGACAGAAAAATGAACACAAGTCTCTGCCCTCATGGACCATATGATCTGGTGGCGGGATAAAAGCAATGGTATAAATAAGTAAACTCTAGTATCTCAGGTAGAGCTAAGTGCTAAAGTAAAACTAAATTAGAGAAGGAGAGAGGGTTGCAATTTTAGATGAGGTAGCTAAGAAAGGCCTCAATGAGCAGGTGGCATCTTAGCAAAGATCTGAAGAGAGGTAAGGCATGAACCGTAAGAATAGATCTCAGGGGAGAGTGTTCCAGGCAGAAGGAACAGCAAGTGTAAAGGCCCTGAGCTAGGTATATACCTGACAGTTGAAATGCAAGGAAACACGTGTGGCTGTAGTGAGAATGGTGAAAATGGAGAAGGCAGTAGGTGATGGAGTCTGAGCAGTAAGTTGGGAGGGATGGGGGTACTCAGATCATGTTGGGAACTGTAGGCCATTGTCAGGACTTTCTTTAGCCTTTTATTCAGAATAACCAGTAAGATTTGCAGGGGAAATTTTTCCTGCTTGTTCTGTGCCCCATTCCAGCCTGATTCATAAATCCTGGGTTGCAGGAGGCAGGGACTTTTGCCCAACCCCAAATGGAGAGACGTTCCAAAGCAGGAAGATCCAAGAGTAACTAGTACTTTGTACCATTCATCCTCACTATACTCTGGATATTCCTTCTAATGAGAAAGGTTCATTGTGCCCAGTGGAGTATAAATGGAGGGTGTGGAGCCAAAAATCTCTGGCTTTTCCTCATTCTCACCTGACCAGGGCTGCCCAGGGCCCTTAGGGCTGTGAGCTTTGATAGGCTGGCCAGAGGACCAGAGACAGCAGGAAACTTCTCCCAGGGGTGGGAGTCCGCCTACACCAATTTCAACTGGTTTCTCATCCGAGGAAATACAGTGAGTGGGGATTTCAAGTCATTATTCTTAATCTACCTGCAAGTTATGCAAAGCAACCCAGGGCCTTTTCACCAGAGCTGCCAGGTAGAACCACATGAATAGGGTCAGAGCCAGGCACAGGAGGAAAAGAAAAATAAATTCACAGGCATGTGCACCTAAGTATGCGGGCAATACGTTCCAAAGCTACAACAAAAAGACTTTTGATCCATCTGTATCCCCTCTGTTAATATGAGCATTCTAAAGTTGCTGATGAAGAACTCTTGTTTGGAAGAAGCAACTCTCTCCTTATGGCATTAGGCCCCCATTTAGAGCACCAGATAGGAAAGTTGCTTTACTGAGAATATCAGATTTTCCTAGGAAAATGTAAGGTTAGGATGATCCAAACACAGGGAAACACGATTGTGCTTTTCACCTTCAAAGACTATCCTATCTTGATTTTGGAACCCAGATGAGGACATCTAAAAGCCTTTGATATCATCTCCTAGGGATTCTGGGCTTCAAACTTTTCATCAAACAAGCGCCTTTTTATTGTTCTTCGCCCTTGTATGCCACGGTGGGGTGGTCAACTAACTTACCAAAACAAATTCCTCAATTTGTTTACGGCCCCTTTCTGCTGTGAATTCACCGTGTGTGATCCATTTGATATTTTTGATGGCGCGTTCTTCTGCAAACAAGGTGTAAATTTGTTAGTTGCCTGGTAGTGTGACATAGGAGACAGTCCTTTAGGCACCCAAGCAGGATTACTACCTTCCACAGTGTTAATAGCAGCGGCGATGGCCCTCTGAGCTAAATTTAGAGCTAGTTCACTCAAATCGCTGTCATCTTCTGTATCGATTGTGTCGCATGAAGAACAAATATACACATCTATTGTCTCCCGAAATCTGACACTTTTAGTCTTATTCATTTTCTTTTGCCTGGAAAAAGAAACTCAAAAAGTTAACTTTTGCATGTGTGTGTGCACGTATGCATGTACACATTCCTGTAAGTACAGACTATCTCTTGAAGAATCACAAGAGACAGGAAACAGTTGTTTCTTCTAGGGAAGGGATTAGGGGTTAGGGTAGGAGTGAGGCTTCACCATTTACCCTTTGTGCCTGGCTGCTGAGATCTACTTTTCCTGAAAACCTAGGATTTCCAGATTCTCATAACCATGAAGACTTAAGTCAAGATGTAGTAGAATGATTCATAACTTCTTTGGCATTCTAACAATACTGATTTCTAGTTGAGTCTAATAGAACCTCAAACCCTGCTTTCGAGGACTAAGGACACATGACTCTTTACAGATAAAGTGAATTAAAATGATTAAAGGCAATACAGCATAGGAGGGGTTGGTTTTTCAGGTTTTACTCTTAGATTTTCCAGGTAGACTATTACATCGTCTACCAGAAACTATCATTTTTTACCATCTTATTTTTCCCGAAAATATTTAAGTATTAGCTTTGGTTAACACTTCCAGAAAAACGTTAAGTGACAGTGGAAATAAGGAGCATCCTCCTTTTGTGTCTAACTTCAATGGGTATGCTTTCTGGTGTTACACCTATAAATATGATGCTGGTTTATGGCTTGAGATTTATCATATCAAGAAAATATTTGTCTGCTACTGTTTTAGTAAGGTGGTCATCATAACTTATAGTTCATATTTTCCAAATGCCTTTAACATCTACTGAGGCTGTGAAAATTAGATTTATCAGTGCTGTGAAGGGTTCATCACAGAGCTAGGAGCCTTTGCACATTTTCCATCATTTTTTTCCATCTTTTCCCTTGAG